TAAATACGTGTATTTTCTTTCTCAATTATCATATGCATTCACATTCTATAACACTTCTAAAATATGTAGCTTAAAATGTGAACTTTGTCACTAGATTTACTAAATTTTCGTTGTATTCAAATGAAGAAACGAATGGACAAGTCAAAAGTGGAGGAATGAATTAATTGAAGTGATTATTATTAGTAAAAATTTTGAAAATGAAAAACTTAGTTTTTTCTTCCTTAATTTGTTTGTGTTTGTTCTCTCTTAAAAGACAATTGAATTGAGTGAAATGTTCAAATTTAATGTTATTTCATTTTTTATATATTTAAGATTGCAATTAAAGGAGAATTAATTAATTGAAGTGATTATTATTAGTAAAAAATTTGAAAATAGAAAACTTAGTTTTTCTTCCTTAATTTGTTTGTGTTTGTTCTCTCTTAAAAGACAATTGAATTGAGTTAAAGGTTCAAATTTAATGTTATTTCATTCTTTGTATATTTAAGATTGAAATTAAAGTAGAACTAATTAATTTAAGTAATTATTATTAGTGAAAATTTTGAAAATAGAAAACTTAGTTTTTCTTCCTTAATTTGTTTGTGTTTGTTCTCTCTTAAAAGACAATTGAATTGAGTGAAATGTTCAAATTTAATGTTATTTCATTCTTTGTATATTTAAGATTGAAATTAAAGTAGAACTAATTAATTGAAGTAATTATTATTAGTAAAAATTTTGAAAATGAAAAACTTAGTTTTTTCTTCCATAATTTGTTTGTGTTTGTTCTCTTTTAAAAGACAATTGAATTGAGTGAAATGTTTAAATTTAATGTTATTTCATTCTTTATATATTTAAGATTTATATTAAAGGAGAACGAATTAATTGATTATTATTAGTAAAAATTTTGAAAATGAAAATACTAAATATTTCGTTGTATTCAAATGACTAGTTTTTATTCCTTAATTTGTTTGTGTTTGTTCTCTCTTAAAAGACAATCGAATTGAGTGAAATGTTCAAATTTAATGTTATTTCATTCTTTATATATTTAAGATTTATATTAAAGGAGAATGAATTAATTGAAGTGATTATTAGTAGTAAAAATTTTGAAAATGAAAATACTAAATATTTCTTTCTCATTTTCTTTCTCAATTATCATATGCATTCACATTCTATAACACTTCTGATATATGTAGCTTAAAGTGCTGAAAATGTGAACTTTGCCATTAGATTTACTAAATTTGAGGGATGTAGTCTATGTATTCAAATGAAGAGACGAACAGGGAGGTCAAAAGTGCAGTCTGCGCAATCGAAATGACCGCATTAATTGGAAGCATTTGCAATTTTAATTTCCTAAACCCATTAACTCTAATTTATACATTCCATTAGCCTCCTCTACGAGTCTGCGTGTTTATGCGCTTCTCTTCTCTGAAAGATTTATTACTTCTTCTCGTTACATCGCCTCCTCTCTGCTCCGCTTTGCTCTGCGCTTACCCAACCAACACCAAAGCCAACATTGATCAATTTACCCGACGACTCTAAATGTTTAATTGCTCAATCCGCGCAATAAGTCTCGATCCAGTTTTACCTATTTCTCTTTTTTTTCTTCTTCTGCTTTTTGACCTGCGGAGGATTCAGACTTTCCAAAAGTGTTGCGATGCAAATGCAATTACCGACATCGATTGCACCTGCGAAATCATACCGAAACGATGCTAAACGTTCGCAATTATATTGATATAGTAAAAAGAAAAAATAACGTATACATTTATTTCCACATAGAAATTTCGAAATTATTATTATTTTTTTATAAATTATTATTACAAAAATATCAAAATTTGTTACTGAATTGAAATAAATCAAGTGACATGAAAATTACAATTAAATAATTTAAAAAAAATCAAAGTTACGTTGGTTTTTGATGAAATAATTACATTTGTTTTCTAGTATCAAATCATCTCACATATTGAGAATAAGAACAATAAATTTAGCACAAAAAAACTGGAGTAAGATACGTGGAAGTTGTTTGGGTCATTAAATAACAGTGAGAATAGCGTTACCTTTTATTGAATAGCAATTGTTTTCCACTATCAAATCTCTTATACAACTCCATTCAATTCAAAGTAAAATACTTATTACGTTATTTTATTAAAATATCACAAACGTTATAGAAATAATTTTTTTTTTTTGTAATAAAATCACTTTGAAATTTGTCTTTCAAAAAATTTATTTAAATTAGCGAAGAAAAAACTGCGGTGAAATAAATCAAATTAAGTGGAAATAAAAACGGGGGCAATTAAAAACCGCAATCGCTTAGCAACAATTAAATAAACAAAAATTTAAGGACATTCATCATTTGTTTCGTTTTTAACGCCAGCTTCCTTATTGTTCCAATTACATGTTTCATTTCTAAGCTCACTCTAATTTATTATATTTTTGTTGCTGTTTTGTTTTTGATTCGCTTTTGTTTCTCTTTCAATATTCAATTGTCGCTATTTCGATTTTCATTCCTTGATTTTCATTCGATTTTGTTTGTTTTGATTTTGTTTTACTTATTATTTCAACTTTTGATTTTGTTTTATTCTTATTTCTCATTTAATTTTGTTACCATTTCTATTTTGTTTTTGTTTATTTATTTGTTTTTTAATTTTATGTCATTTTTGTTTTCGATTCGATTTTCTTTGTTGCTTCCGGATTGATTTTGTTTTATTTGATATTTCGATTTTTGTTTCCGTTTCGTTTTTGTTTCTCATATAATTATTGTTAACGTTCCTAATTTGTTTTGTGATTCTATTTTGTTTCATTTTTGTTATTTACTTGATTCTATTTAATTTTTGTTTCTTATTCAATTTGATGTTGCTCTTTCGTTTCTAATTCGTTGTTGTTTTTTTTGTTGTTGTTGTTTGTTGTCATTTGAAATTGTTCGACGGTGAAATCATCGAGGTGGCGTCGACTTTAAGCGCCATATCAAAACAAATAAATAACATTCAAAGTCGACTCTGATTTTTTCTTCTTCTCTTATTTGCGTCATCTTTCTCTCGCGAATTAAGGAATTCGCAAACAAATCACAACGAATTTTTTTCATAATTTAAATTTTGGAAAGTTGCCCGACTCAATTCATTTGTTTCCATAGCTCATTAATCATATTTTTTTTTCCATTTACTAAAAATTTCTTCTCAAAATCTTAAATTTAGATTTGTTTATAATTGTTAAGCTTTAATAAAACAGTTAAATTTTATTTAATTCTCACTTATAAAACATTTATAATTTCATAATAATGTAGAAAAGATAATCCGCGAGAATGGAAAAAGCACTGACGTGATGTTTCGTTAAATATCATTTGTTGTGGAATTTGAGAAAGTACATCCACATAGTATGTAGTGTATATATATATATATCGTATATCTCTATAGTTGGAAAACAATGCTCTCCTGATAAATTACGAATGGGTATTAATCATAGAATAAAAGGAGTGTAAATACCAATTGCTACGACTTTATGTGTGCTAGCTAGTGCATATAGTGTGTATGTGTATATTCATTATGAGTCAATTACAAACTTGATTTATCGAAAATGTTAACGGCCGCGCTTCTATGTTCAAACGATTCAAACTAAAATTAACTCAACAATTAACACGTAATTACCATGGAAACAATTACAAATTAAAACTATACTTACAAACAAAAAAAAAAACAAAAAAGCATCAATATAAATAAGTGATTAATATGTAAATATTAATTGCTTACTATATCGAAAACATCAATAAAAATAAGTAATAAAGACGTAAATATTAATTAGGTAAAATTAACAAAAAAATATGTAAATTCCAGAAACTTGTCTGTTTTTTTTCAAATTCTTCGTTTATATTCATATTTAAGCTAAAAATATAAAGAATAACAGGTTTATAGTTAAATTCCTAAGCTTTGTTCTGTCGATTAATTTTTCAAAATAGAAATTATCAAATATGAATACGTCTCATTACATTTTTGTTGATTGCTCAAAATCTATAACAATCAGAATCGTTATTAAATATACATATTAAAGCTAAAACTATAGAGAATAATAAACTTATAGTTGTATTTATATGAGTCTGATAGTTTTTTTTAGTAATTAATTACAAAAAAAAATAATTATTAAATAAGGAAACATGTCTTTACATTTTCACTTATTTCTGAAAATCAACATTAGTTAGTTTCATTACTAAATATACATATTAAAGCTAAGACTATATAGAATAATAAAATTATAGTTGCATTTCTATGACTCTGATAGTTTTCTAGTAATTAATTACGAAAATTGTAATTATAAAATACGAAAACATTTCTTTATATTTTGTTTTATTTCTGAAAATCAGCAAGAATTAGTTTAATTATTAAATATACATATTAAAGCTAAAACTATTTAGAACAATAAACTTATAGATGAATTTCTGTGATTCTGGTAGTTTTCTTATAATTAATTATGAAAATTGTAATTTTCTAATAAGAAAACATCTCTTTACATTTTGTCTTATTTCTAAAAATCTACATTAATTACTTTCATTATTAAATATGTATACTAAAGGTAAAACTATAGAGAATAATCAACCTATAGTTGGATTTCTGTAACTTTCATAGTTTTCTCGTAATTAATTATGAAAACTGTGACAATAACATATGAAAACATCTCTTTAAATTTTCACTTATTTCTCGAAATCTACATTAACTAATTTCATTATTAAATATAGATATTAAAGCTAAAATAACAGGTTTATTGTCTCATTCATTTTCGTATCGTTTTATCTCAGGAATGTTGAAATATTTGTGTTGAATGGATGAAATTGTATTTGTTTTCTTCAATTATTGTTCGTAAATTAAAGCACTCTGCGATTTGGAATTTACATTAGACATTTTTGTGTAGGTGCAAGAGATTGCGCAAAAACCGATATTCTTTATTTTCGTGAAAGCGATCCACACACGCCTCGAATTCCTCGCCACCTTCTTTTACGCAATTTCGTTTTTACATTTACGTTTTTATTCCTTATTTTGCAGATGCTGCACCTTCATCATCATCATTGTTAGTGGATGATCAGCAGGCGGCGGCTGCCGAAGGAGAAAGAGACGAATACGTCGAAGCGCTCGAGCAGGAGGAATCACGAAACGGGGAGCAATTCGAAGGAAGCGAATCTTTCTACCCATCGTTCGCGCCTTTGCACAATCCACCTTTGGGTCATTCCAGACCGTTCTATCAGCAGGAGAGGGCGTACAGTCATAGACCGACTGGATACCAGCAGCAGCAACAGCTCGGGTTTGATAGCGGCGCCCGTTTCAGCGGCTACAAAAGCGACACGTCTTCAGCGGATTCCAACAGTCAAGGCCTTCTGGGTTCCGGGAACTTTGGTGTGATCAGAGGTGGCACGTTCTTCGGCGACAGCGACGGTGATGCTTCCGGTTACGAGCAGTACGGATCTTACTACCAGAACGGACACGGAAGACCCTCGTTCTACTTCCCGAGCAACAACCCGAAACCGAGGCAGTTCCAGCAGTTCGAGAACTTCAGGGATTTCGCGGACATCAACGTTCCATCCTCGTACTCGCATTACGTCGTAGTTTACGCTAATAAGAACAGCACGACGCAGGAGGAAGCAATCAGAAGGCCGAAGAACATCATCGAGCATCTGCAGCTCTTGGACGCAGCGGAACAGAAGAAACTCTCCAAATCCAAGAGGAAACTTTCCTTGACTTCCTCCACGGATAAGAAGAGGCCGCGATGGAACAAACCTTCACCGCGGGATCTCCGCGAACCTCTTCTCGCCCTCAGCTGAAGACATCATCAACTTAGCTATTATTAACACCAACATTTTTTCCCCAAAACCTTTAATTATCCTTTCTTATTGTATTTTATTATTTCTTTCGTTTCAACTTCGCAGGACCGTACCTGACTGTTTACTTTAATTTCTATTTTTATTTCATCCATTTATTATTTTTCCTTTTTTTCCCTGATCGAGTGCGAATGCGTGTGATATATATTACTAAATGAATGCCCTCTAGTTATTAAGTAGTTTGTTTGTTTTTGTTTAAGTGGAGCAACAGAGCCATCAAAACGTAATTTAATTAGTTATCTTTTAAGGAGACGAATACAAATAAGAATGTAAGAGAAAATGAAAAAAAAACACAAATCAACTATGTATATATATATATAATTATTATTATTAGGAGTACGCGTGCACGTTTAGTGTGCACTAAATAAATGCTATTTTTTTATATAAACTCTTGTTTTTTTTATTATTCCTTCAACTGAGGCCTCCTAATTCGCAGCAACAGGTTGTTCGTCGCTCACCCCTAGATTTCCGAAAGAGAAGAACGGTTTTGCAATTACCATTATTATCGACGAATCTCTCATTTTGTAATTATGATTTTTGTTATATAAGTTAAGGTAATTAAGGAAATAAATGATGGGCGATCATAGTGAGTCCTGAAAACAGTCGAGGTATACATGATAATTCAATTGTTTTCAGGACTCACTTCGTTCGCCCATCAAGAACATTCTTGTAACCATTAAACATTCCTATTACTATAATATTAATAACAAATAATCAAGAAAATTAAAAAAAAAAACTTTACTAATTAACTAGAAACTTCTAATGAGAATCTTCATGCTAATTCTATTTTTTTTTTGTATTTTCTTTATAATTAACTAATGAAATGACGAGAAAACGAAGTGAGTCCTGAAAACAGTTGAAGTAGAAATAATACTTCCATTGTTTTCAGGGGTCACTGCGTTCGTCCATCAAGAGCATTTTAGTATTTGAAAAACTAACAATTTCTTATTAATGTATATTACTTAATATTAATTAAAAGTATTTAATGAAAATCTTTTCATTAATTCTTGTGAACATTTTGATACTTAACTGTGGAATTGATAGACGAACAAAGTGAGTCCTGAAAACAGATAATTTCTATTACTTAATATTAATTACAACTAATTAATTAATATCTTTATATTAGTTCTTAAAGATTACATTTTGATATAGAAATCATGATATTTAACAAGTTATTGATGGGCGAATGAAGTGAGTCCTGAAAGCGGATGAAGTTCAAATGTAAACTTCAATTGTTTTCAGGACTCACTTCGATCGCCCATCAAGAAAATTATTATAACACTTAAACATTCTTAGAATATTAATTACAAATAAGCAAAAAAATTAAAAAAAAAACTTTATCAATTAACTAGAAACTTCTAATGAGAATCTTCATGCTAATTCTGATTTTTTTTTTGTATTTTTTTATAATTAACTAATGCAATGACGAGTAAACGAAGTGAGTCCTGAAAATAGTTGAAGTACAAATAATTCATCCATTGTTTTCAGGGCTCACTGCGTTCATCCATCAAGAACATTTTAGTACTTGAAAAACTAACAATTTCTTATAAATGTATATTACTTAATATTAATTACAACTATTTAATGAAAATCTTTACATTAATTCTTAAAGATTAAATGAGAGTATGAAAATTTTGATATTTGATTGTGGAATTGATGGACGAACAAAGTGAGCTCTGAAAACAGATAATTTCTATTACTTAATATTAATTACAACTAGTTAATGAATATCTTTATATTAATTCTTAAAGATTTTATCTTTATATTAATTCTTAATGATTACATTCATATAGAAATCATGATAATTAACTAGTTATTGATGGGCGAACGAAGTGAGTCCTGAAAGCGGACGAAGTTCATATGTAAACTTCACTAGTTTTCAGGACTCACTTCGTTCGCCCATCAATGAAATGTTTATAACTAAGAACCTAGCATATATATACACAGTTCTATTAGTTAATATTAACTTAACAAAATACATTTGAGAATGATAGTTTTGATAGAAAAAATTGTATTGATGGGCGAACGAAGTGAGTCCTGAAAACAATAGAAGTATCATTTGTTAAATGTTTATAACTAAAAACTTAGCATATATATGCAAAGTTTTATTAGTTAATATTAACTTAACGGAATATAATTGATAATGATAATTTGATAGAGAACTTTATATTGATGGGCGAACGAAGTGAGTCCTGAAAACAATTGAAATAACTTAAATACCACTAGTAACTGAAGTTTGAACAATTCTTTAAGTTTTCAACGATGTAAGTGAGAAATGTATTTTTCACTAATACTGTGGATATGTTTGAAGTGTATTCGATTGAAATTAGTTCCGGCCGTGTGTAGGTAGAGTGATACGGGGTGAAGAGAAGTGGAGAGAGATGTGGCACCCATATCCTCCTTGCTACACAATCCATATTGCGCACGTAATACAACAAATAACGGCAAGTGTCTTCTTTACTTCCTACCAGAACGAACGAATATCCATTTGCTTCCTCCATCGAACCACCAATTGTAAAACACATCCACCTTTACAATATTCTTTTCATCCTTCTCACCCCATCCCCAACGTCGTCTCCACCGCAAATATTTCATTTCCATTCTTTCTGCATATGTATATATTCCAATACATAGCAATTCAATTTCCATCGTAAAACTTATTCCTTTCATAACCGTTCATCCTCACCCCCAAGAGCAACGATAAATATTTCTTTATTTTTGTTTCC